GAAATCAAGCCAAACAATATTCCCACTAGAAGCTGCTCTAACTACTTCCTTCAGTTGTGAATCCAAAAAGGTGTTAGGGCAAGAATGACAAATATTTTTATCACGGAACAACTGTTCTGGGACAAGTAGAAAACAAAACACCGATCTTTAGCTGAGCCTAGTTCACCACAAAATTCATAGGCATGAACATTTTTATATATATATTGATATCTATCTATGTCAAAATATATACAATTATATATTATGAACAAGGCTATTTTATGTTGCACTGTCCTACTTTACCTCTACTCAATATACATAAAGTGTACATATACTGTATACATACAGGATTAGTAAGGACCCCATATATCCGACAGGGTGTTGGGAAGGAAGAGCCCTGCTCTCCCTCACACTGTACTCAACCTCAGCTCTGCATACCTGTCCCTCCTTGTCCCCCCTGAAATCCCCAATCTCAGAGAAGCAGCATTATGTCCTAGGGACTCCACAACCCTCAGTATCTGTGGTGTTCCTGCTCCACATCTATCCATTTCTGCTTACCATTTTAAATTACAACTAATTCCTTTCAAAACCTGTTGCAGACAGGTGAGCAAGGCCACTGATGTCATGCTGCAGTCCACACATCCCACAGATGTTAAACCTTCATAGCACCAAAAAGCCTCTTGTGGCCCACCAAGCTTTACACCACAGCCTTGGCAACCAGGTTGCCTTTGTAAACAATTTAACCCAAAGAGACCCTGTCGACTGAAAAAGAGAATGTGTGCCTAAACATCTACCATTTCTTTACTTGACCAGAGATATCATGATGAATCAACAAATTCTATAGATCTCACTTCACAGGCTGTGCTTAGAATCCAAAGGGAACTGCCTATGTGTATCTGTACCATGATGAGAGACATTTTCCACTCAGGTCTTTTAAACTGAAAATTGGTATTAACGTATTGTTCTAGTAAGAGAGACCCTGACTCTAGGGTCCCATGCATATGTCAGGTGTCACATAACCAAAACACAGAGTCTCTGAATCAAAATGGTTGGAACCTAAAGAAGCATTTTACTTTCACTAAAAAGGGGTTTTACTCTGTGGATTTAGTGTCAGGGAAGAGTGCTACACTGATTCCCTGTACGTTCCCCTGAACTGCAAGATTCATCCACCAGAAAGCAGCGGCAGCGTGGCTGGACTGTCTGCTGTGGGGAGCACTTGGGGGTTTCTACATGTGAGCGCTCTGCGTGTCATTCTGCCTGTTCCTGTCACTGTTCTGCTCCTTGCCAACTGCCATCCAAGAGTTAACTCGCATCTTGGTGGGTTTACACATCTGCAGAAAGGCAAGCACGCTTATGTTTAGGAATGGGACAAAGTAATACATACATCTGTACCTGAAATCCCTCCAACCACATAAAGGCTTCAGAAGAAAACAAAGGACTTTTGAAACTTTTAAAATGTCAGACCCGTAAGACATTGGCAGGAAGACAGACTTTTAGGGAAACCAATTACTTGATTCCCAGAAGTTATAGCATATATGCTAGACCTGTGCAACTACTAGTCGGGAATATTATGCAAGCTGCTCTTTCATTGCCTCAAACTTGTTGCTATTTTACTGCAAAAAAAGCACATTTTGAATGTGTGTTTGACAATCACCATGGCTACACAAGGAAAGCCTCCTTAAAAGTTTGAAGACTAAATGTGGGTGCTGGAGTTTAGAATCCCTGTCTAAAAAGCACGATGACATGCAGCAGCCCACTCCGAAATGCCGGCCACTGAGGATCTGTCACTTGAAAGGAATATCTACGCTGCACACAGAGATCAAAGCTACGGCAAACGAATCCCAGCCCTAAAGCAGGGACAAGCTTTCAAACATAAAAGGACAGCTTATTTGCCATGCCAAATGCGAATTCCACTGACCGTTTTTGCTTGGGCGAATGAGGAAGCAGAGATCACGTAATATAAATAGTCGTACAAAAATTTTCAATGTTATCTTTTCTTTTTTTCTCTCATGGGCAATGGATGAGCCCTGACGTGGCAGTGACTTTTAGCAACGACCCACTTGGAGCTGGATTTGGACCAGTAACCAAATTACCACATGCCTTCTACCTCTTGCATGGGCTGTCCAAGGATCTCAGCAGAAACACTCTTACAAAATGCTTTGTGTGTGTGATTACCCAAGACCGTCGGTGGTTAATTCCAGAAGTGTATCCTCACTTAAAAATGGTAGTTCTACCACAAATTGTTATAGCCATGATTAAAATTAGGTTCCACATTTGTACTTTCTAAAATATCAAAGGCATGATTAGCAAAGTCTTTTGTTCAAGATCTCTGGAGTCCTTGGGGTAATGAAAACTGGGTCAGAGAGTAGCTTCTCTGAAAATTTAAAGTAAATGCCGCGTTCAAGCAATAGGAGCTTCCATGACTCATGGAGCACTCAGCCTTGAGAAGGGGAGCGCTGAAGCCAGGTCCGTGCACCAACAGTAGCACCCCTGCCCCCACCAAAAAGGGGAAAGCGAGGGGAGAAGGCAGCGCAGCAGATGATTTTGAACAGTTTCCTGTTATGATCCCTTGAAAGAAATCCAAGCGTACTTTCCCCCTGCTTTCTGTTTTCTGAATTTCTCCTGACAGTTGGCCCTTTCCTTTGCCAGAACCACAACAAAGGCAGGCCTTGAGTTTCCACGGGGCCGTTTTCTCCCTCGGCCGTCTCTGATGCTCGCACAAAGGTGTTATTGTTGCTGGCTCGCCGGGGCTGCTGCACCTGAGGCACATCAAAGGCTCCGCTCGATGCCCGCCCGGCCACACAGCGCTCTCTCCCACTGCATTAAATTAAACCCGATGATTAATCTCTGCAGCCCCGAGGGTCCCTCGGTGCGCACGGAGAGAAAATATATATTTCTATCAAAACACATGTATAATATACTTTCATTTTATAGCCCTAATTAAAAAAAGGAACGGCTGATTTCAGCCAAATGCAGCTGCATGTGGCTCTGAGTAAAATACAAATACAACTGCTGCGTGTGCTCTACATTCACTTCATGCGGGTTATGCAGGTATAGATAAAAGGATAGTAAAGTCCCTTCATAGATTAAATCCAGAGAAGCTTAAAATTTGCTTATTGTCTGGCAATTAGAGAGTGTTATACCTCACAGATGAATTAAAAAAGGCAGGTAAGAAAATGCTTATGAAATGTTGAGTAGTTATATTCAAATTAAAATCAATGTAAATTTACCCCCAAATTGCACAAGCTTGCAGTCAAATGATTAAAGCTTAAAATGTTCCACCTTGCCTACGGTGTGTAGTCTATGTATGACTTCAGGGTGACTTTAATCACAGAACAGAATATTGATTAACACCAACATGGGCTTTAACAAGGAAAGATTTGTCCCTTTTGTTACATTAACATAGTGAATGGAGCCACATCTCCTGTTGTCATGGAGTATGTTTATAGTGGTATGTTTTGCTCTCGTTTGGGAAGCAAAACAAGCTATAATTGTGTAAGTGGGTCTCTACATTAAATCTTATTAGCGTACACATGTGAAAAATTAATAAATAACTATGCACGTATCTTCTTCCAGGACCAGTTACGCTAAAGGAGTAAGTTGAAGCCAACTGGCTCATTTCCAGCTGCTCAACATTGCCCTGAGACCTTCTCGGGAAACTGAGTGCTGCTTAGCTCATTTCAGTCCAGTATTAGGTCTCTATTAGCCCAGCCCAGTTTAACGATTTGAACTAAGTCAGCTAAAAGAAACAGGTTAGGAAGAGTTCATACAGATAGCTTCTTCTGAAGGACTGAAGGGGCAGAAGCCTTCATCAAAAGAACCAGAAACTGTAATAAGTAGGAACAGCCTAGAAATGGTAACTTCTCCTGCCCATCCTGGTATTTGCAGAGTGGAAAGGCCTGTGCCTGGGTGAGCACAGATACCAGGGTAATTTTCTAGGGACAGAGTAGGTCTAACAGTGGTGGGATTCGAGGTCTGAAACTCTGGGTTTAGATAGGAATCTGCATATATTCCGAGTATTCTTCAGGATTTAAAGTTTGGTTAAATGCTCTGCTTCACAAAACAGGGATTATTCATAACCTCAAATTCAATCATGTGCTTAAATGCTTTGCTGAACTACAATCTGCATGACAAGATCATCATCTTAATAATGCTGTTTTATCATCTTAGTAATGCTGTTACTATGAAGACATCTTTCAAACTCTGTTAAGATTGCCATTTATTTATTTTTTTTACTATTAAAATTATTTATTTTCTCTATGGAGAGCTCTCTCCATGAAGTATGCTAGCACTTCCTAGGGCCTCTAGCTTTAGCCTATTGCCATTTGCTCATTTAGGAAAAATACAAGTTATAATCAGTCTAAATTTAAGACCGTAATGAGTTTTAAATAAAAAACGTGGCAGAAAAGGGTACTTATCTAAATGGAATGCTTTCAGACTCATACATTTTAAAAAGGTATAAATTTCAAAAGCAGACACTAAATTTTAATTGCAATCTCAGAAAAAGCTTTTGTGTTAATTCACTGAGAAAAATTAGCAAAGTGAAAATTGCTTATCAGGGTTTTTCTTTCTCTTTAGTCGTGATACATATCATAATTCTATAGATCATGGCAGCTTTCAGAGGCAGGATTTATATTGATTAAGTGAAGAGGTGGGGGAGAGGGCTGTGACTAAAGACATAACACTCCTCCAAATACACTATTCTGTAACACATTAGCGACAGGCTTGTCACGGATAACTCAAGCTCCATCTCTGGCTCAGATTTCAGGCTGCTCTTTAAGTCAGTCTGGCATCGTGTTTTTTACCTTTCATGTCATTTTTTTCAGTATTGATTTCTACTACTATTAAAGTTCTTGCTTAGTAGTAAATGCATGGTAATATATAATTAATATCCAAAGGTAAAGCTACGGTTACCAGAAAAATCAAGGAAAAGGAAAGGGGTGAAAGACAGAGGTCATTCCTCCCTTTGGAACCATTGGTTACTATATCCTATAGAAGTTAGGCCTAGGCATACAACCTACCCCCATATGGCATGAAGATGTTCCACAGATCATCGCAAGTCGGGACGTAATTGGCTGATTTTCACATGGCAGGTTGTGTCCTTTCACATCTGCTCCAATTACTCCTATCATAAAAAAATTAAAACTCCTTTTTAAAAGAAGAGCAACACAACCCTCGCAAAACAGAGCTTTTCTGCACACAAATAATTGCCATCTCACATCAATACCACAAATCAAAAGATTTGTTTAGTCAATGAACAACTTCATTTTATAGACGCAAAATAAAACACATTTTCATTCCAGATACATGAGGACACCAGATCATTTCCTCCATGTTCACGTTTATCATAATTTTTAAACATTATTGCAACTATAGCCAAGACCTTTATTGTCTTAGGTCGTGCAGTAACTCGTAGAATAAAAGCCTGCCCTGTTCTGAAAGGCACTGCAATAGAGGGCAGATATATTTATTTGTTCACATATGTTATCATGCATATGCTGCATATTGTGTGTTCTCAGGGGATGAGCTGGAGAAAGGGGTAACCGGGCAGCAGAGTGGAGGGCTGTCACTTCTGTTGTCCTGACTGCTGCTCTGTTGAGGTCAGAGGGAGCCATCCAGAAGATGGGAGATGGCTCCTTCCCCAAGGAGATGGGCAGCTGCACATGGGATGGGGCAGAGGACCACAGCTGCAACCAGTGCTCGGCCCGCAGCCACGTGTGGAGCAGGAGGTCCCAGAGAGGGTCCTGCCTACACAACGGCGCAGAGCCACAGCCAATATTCGGGATGCAGCAGCACATTCTGTGTAGCTCGGTTTAAGGCTGTTACCAAAAGAAATTCTGCCCTCTCTTCCTCCCCATCTTAGGCTGCATGTTTGTATCACACTGTAATAGGTAGAGAGGCAAAAAAAAAACCTACAGCAGTAAAGGACAAATAATATTTTGTTCATCCTTTTTCTCTTGAGCATTATTTTTCAATCAGATTAATTGGTGATTGGTTTGCAAATCCTGCTAAAACAATCCTAAGGAAGAAAAGCAATCAGTCTTTCAGTTCACTCTACAACTCCAGATCACAGGGGACAAAGGAAGGAGTAAGGTCATAAAAGAAGGAAGGACAGAAAAGAAGCCCTTCCCTCCTGACCAACATTAGGTCAAATAAAGGTAAAACTTCTCAGAGGTCACAGGGAAACTTCCCTAGGAATGCATGGATGTTGGAGAAGCCGGGAAGCCTTACAAATTATGCTGGACTGAAACAACAGACCAACCCTGCAAGGATAAAATAGGCACGGAGGTGATTGCTTTCAAATCTTCTGTTTTAATCTTTTTAATGTGTTTCACCCAGTAGATATGTTTCCTATGAACTGTCCAGTTTCCTAATACATATTTCAGCAAAAAATAGCTTTAGAAAATGGGAATTATTCGATGTCTTTTAATGTGCACACGTTAATAAAAGGTAAAGCAGTTTCATCTCAACATTCTGGCTAGCCTAGTGTCCAACAAGAAACTACTACCAACTACTGTAAAAATAAACACTAATATTTCTTTTTTTTTTCCTGTTTCCCTATCATCCTTATTTTACAAACAGACAATTTCATTTCAGAGACATTGAAAAAGTAGTTTTCAAAAAAACCTGCAGGTCTCCTCCATCAAGCTGTATTTCTTCTCATTGCAGGGGCATCACTAAGGCATTTGCTGCACATTTCATACATTCAGAACCAAAGCTGAAGATGCCACGTGTTCCCTGTGGTTAGTATGTGACATTTCTTTAATTCTCTCATTTAGGCCACCACTGCAAGATTCTGTTATCAAATCACGCTGTTACAGTTTGTCTCATCATAGTTACAAGGTCATTATGGTATTATGACTGGAAGTCATTACAATATCCAGAAAATTAGGGGCTAAAATTTTATCACTCTGTCCTTACATCCTTTATTCTAGCTGGTTTATGACTCTGACAGTAGCAAACCTGTCACATGAAGAGCTTATTTGCAAGGAGAAACAGAAGACAAAGTATGGCTGCTGCATCTTATGCTTCATTTTTCACTGTTCAAACACAGACATCTAGAAGCTCATCTTAAGCTTTTTGGATAGGCTTTTCTAAAATGCATTTTTCTGTAATAGACAATATCATATTAAAAGTTCCAAAAATAGTTAAAAGTATCATCCACATAAATGAGCAACTCTGAATTATCAGCACGTACTGCAAATTTATTTCTACAAAAAATAGAAGATGGGAGAGCCTCATATTTGGACACCTGTTAATCACCAAGAAAACATTCTTCTGCAGAGTGAAATCAGAGCCTTGCCAAAACCAGTCGGAATTTTGTCAGCAACTTCACTCGTGTTGAGAATTACTGGAGTCTCCCTGTTTGTGATTAATTGAAGTAACACAGAAAATACATCTGTAACATTCAATAATACTGAAATCTTAGATGTTTAAACAACTAAGGATAAGTTAAGGGTTGCCAAAAGTCATTTTTACCTTTAAATGAGTTGTATACATATATATATATTTACTGAGAAAGATTCCAAATTTTGTGAAGATTCTCAAGAGAGACAGGAACCAACAAGTCTGTACACTACATAAACTGTACAACACGCTTTAGGAAAGCAGGTAGTGTTAAGTGCTCACACTTTTTGCTCTTTTCCATAATGACAAGGTATTTCAGATATTGTACACTAAACTTTCTACTTTTTGCTTACATAGTGCTGGTATCATTTTTAGGAGGGGCAAGATAAGCATTCACTTTATTCAAGCCAGTCTCAAAAGACTGGTCTCCCACAATCACTTTTTTATCTGGAGGCTTTTTTCAAATTAGTACAGTAGGTCAAAATGAGTCAGATATATAGTCAGCTTCTACATTTTTGCTTTTGCATAATAGGTATCAGATGGACAGGAGTCATAGATGACCTCCACTGACTTAAGTATCAAATAATTCTCCATCTCCACCTTATTTCACTCAGAACTTCAAAGCCTTCCTAAATTCCAGGACCCTGACCATGAAAAATACACTTTATATCCATTGAAAAGCAGTTATGAATACTATGTCAAAAGTTTCTAACACTGAAAACAAAAAATCCATCGTGCCATTTTGGGTCCAGTGTGCAGGATGCGAAAGACCCTTTTCTATTACTTAACTGCTATAGATTATTTTTAACACTCAGAAAGAGAAAAAAGTAGAAAAGAGATTCACAGTTGTAGGTTGCACCACATGTGCAACTATGACACTTCACTTTTTGCAGCTGGTCAAAACAAGATACTAGATCTACAGTTAATCCTTCTGAGCAATAAGAAAAACAACACACATGATTACTTAACTTCACCAGAAACAGTTATCAGAAGCAAACCAAACAAATTTAAGCATTTTAAAAATTCCAAGCCACAACTACTATGAAAAAAAGAAGATTTTAAATACCACAGAAAAATACTTGAAAGAAAACTGATACTCTGGCAGCTAATCAAACTTAATTTGGATCTAGAGAAAACTGCTCTGATGAGCAACAGATTTCCACTGAACCGTAGTATATCAATAACTCTGAAACTTTTGGAGGTAACTTTTTTTTCTAACCTATCAAACTAAAAAAAAAACCTAAATTTCCTGCTTACAAGTTACATTAAATCTCTTTGCTTTTGACTGTATTTAGATAAGGCCAAAGAGCACAGTAAGAAAATGAAGCAGTCAGCCTTCCCAAACATCCCTTTTCAATGCAGTTGAAACTGAGCACTTCAGAACATCGTGCTGGGAAGGAAACCAAAACTAAGCGTTGGGCCTCCCACTCCAGCGAGAGATAACACGGTCGGAGCCTCTGCACTTACCAAGAAGGGCAATGCTGTTCTTGGCTGGTTCTCCCTCTGCGCTATTTTCACTATCTTACACTATTTCCCCTACTCTGAGCTACATCAAAAGCAGTGTTTGGGGTATATATCCACCTTGTGCTAGCATGAATGTACACTGAAAAGTCATGCTTGCATTATTTAAAAAAGGACAAATTGTTACTAAAACTTACAAGAAAGAATAACTGTGAACAAGCCTCAAACATGAGACTTCTCCCTCAGAACTTTTACTTAACTTCCCTATCCCCAAAGTTTTGGCCTATAGGAGATGTAAACTCAGCATGTTGAAGGACTACTTGATGGTGTTTCAGTGGAAGCACCAAGATTTAATGGATACCTGGGAAATGCAGCTGCAGACAAATAAACGTAGTGTTATGTAAACCCCTTTCTATAAAAAGATATTCAATATTAGTAGTTATTGAAAAGGCCTTTTTTTTTTTTTTTTACTTTAATTCTGCTATTTCGTAAGAACAAATATTAGCACGAGAGCAATTAACTGGATATAAAACAAGCTTTGAGAAAAATGGCTTTCTCGGATGAATTTATTATTCTCCTACTTCCAAGAAGAGAAAACAAGATGGAGTACCTAGTCCTCCAGCATGAGCATCAATGAGAGAAGCTGCTACTGCAGTCCCTTCGGGGAGGCCGAGCTCCCTCGCAGCCTCTGGCGTTAGACCTTTTCCAACCGACTCTCCAGGAGACAAGACGTGGTTTCCTGGGCAGACACAAGAAAAACCAAACATCTGTCAATTTACTAAACAGAAAAACAAACATGCATGTTATTATAGGAACTCCTTTACTCTTCTTCAATTTAGAGCAGTACACAAAGCAAAAAGGTTCATTATAAAATACATTTAACTCTACATGTGTATGCTAACCACATAGCCATGCCGTATCAGAGCGCTCCACAGTTCAAGAGGATTCCATGTTTTATCCAGCCAAAGAGAAATACTCCACCACAAAGCATCAAATCCTGCTTAGCCCCTTTCCAACAAGGGGCACACAATGCACACATACAGATTCCAAGCTTCTTCTGGAGCTGCTGACTACCCTTTTTGCAGCCAGTCTCCATGCATGTGAATGAGATTCAGCTCAGCCTGTGTTCATCACTGCTAAGGGCACTTGTTGCACAAGGAGGTGGCCAGTTTTTCCATTTCTATGCTTTCCAAGAGGTCTCACTAGAAATAAGATGCCTAGAGTAACAGAAACTGTGAAGGAGAAATTGGCTAAATAAGCATTTTTTGCCCCTCCAGCTACTCTAAAACAAAACCTATCCACTTTTGAGTCTTTGATAGCCTTAGGAAATCTATAAAACGCTACAGTCACCCCAAATATAATCAGTGCAATCCCCCCTCCCTCTCAGCCTTGCCCATGAGTCTGTTAGCAGCTTTTATTTGCATAGATATCTATCAGTCTAATTCTCTCTCTTTTTTTTTTTCCTAAAAAGAAAAGAAAAATAATTAAGTAGAAATGTTTCAGAGTTCAGGAAAGCAAAGCTAAAGTCACAGATCTTTCGGAATTCAAAGATTACTTGGAGATTTCTTGTCTTCCCCAGCCTCATCTCTGGGCAGAAGCATCTGCTCTGGGATGGCTGCTGAGCTTGACCAGACCCAAAGCAATAGGGA